GACATTTAAATCAGCAAAAACAAATCGCTAGGCGCGATTTTCATTTCCCTCTTTCTTCTTCTTCCTTCGCCATTTTAGACTCATTCTCTCTCTACAAAGCTCGATTTTCGTCACTTTTCGAAGCTAAAGGAAGTAGATCTCGTCTCCTATTCATATTTTCCAAAATCCAATGTAAGTATTTGGTTGTTTTAACTCATTTTTTTTGGCCAAAATTGGGAAAGCTCGAACCGAAGAACCCTAAATTTTGAATTTAGGGGGTTTTGATTTGGTCCACTATTCTTGAAATTGTTTGTTCCGTGTTGTTATTCTATGTTTAAGGAGTGTTTTGCAACAAATTTTATGAAAAATGGTTAAGTATTGAACCTTGTATGAGCATGTCTTTCTTCAAATTCGTTCTTTGTATTTTTTATTATTTTTTAATTATTTTGGTTCGAATCTGCTGTTTCTTGCTTGCTCACTTGGTTATACTTGTTGATTATGAAGTGAATTATAGTGCTATGCCTACAATTACTTTCATGAATCATATTTCAAAAATTTTGACTTCAAGAAATGGCGCGAAATGCATTTTATTTTTATTTTTTGCCATTTTCATGTTTCAAAATAATTGTTTGATAGACGATAATTATGTTTTATTCATCTGTAAACAGTTAATTCCCAAGATTTATAGAAATAATCTTTAGAATTGTTAGTTGAACTGGTATAGGTTGGCCTTGTGGGTGTTTAAGCTCCCATTTACTCAGTTCAATTGCAGATGTCGTAGCCCCCAAGTATTGGGTGGCATTCGACTTGGTATTATTTTGATGATTCGCGCGTTATAACAACTACAAAGCACGGCACAAATGCATAACAACAACGCACAAAACCATTAGAAAAAATCCAAAACGGATCAAAATCCAAGTACCAGTCTTTTAAGTGACAAATATCTGCGCGTAACTCAGTGGGTCGTGCTGGCCAAGCGCGCACATGTTTTTGAGTTGCGTTGGGCTGTCACGCGCAACTTATAGAGTTGCACGCGACATTTAAATCAGCAAAAACAAATCGCTAGGCGCGATTTTCATTTCGCTCTTTCTTCTTCTTCCTTCGCCATTTTAGACTCATTCTCTCTCTACAAAGCTCGATTTTCGTCACTTTTCGAAGCTAAAGGAAGTAGATCTCGTCTCCTATTCATATTTTCCAAAATCCAATGTAAGTATTTGGTTGTTTTAACTCATTTTTTTGGCCAAAATTGGGAAAGCTCGAACCGAAGAACCCTAAATTTTGAATTTAGGGGGTTTTGATTTGGTCCACTATTCTTGAAATTGTTTGTTCCGTGTTGTTATTCTATGTTTAAGGAGTGTTTTGCAACAAATTTTATGAAAAATGGTTAAGTATTTAACCTTGTATGAGCATGTCTTTCTTCAAATTCGTTCTTTGTATTTTTTATTATTTTTTAATTATTTTGGTTCGAATCTGCTGTTTCTTGCTTGCTCACTTGGTTATACTTGTTGATTATGAAGTGAATTATAGTGCTATGCCTACAATTACTTTCATGAATCATGTTTCAAAAATTTTGACTTCAAGAAATGGCGCGAAATGCATTTTATTTTTATTTTTTGCCATTTTCATGTTTCAAAATAATTGTTTGATAGACGATAATTATGTTTTATTCATCTATAAACAGTTAATTCCCAAGATTTATAGAAATAATCTTTAGAATTGTTAGTTGAACGTGTATAGGTTGGCCTTGTGGGTGTTTAAGCTCCCATTTACTGAGTTCAATTGCAGATGTCGTAGCCCCCAAGTATTGGGTGGCATTCGACTTGGTATTATTTTGATGATTCGCGCGTTATAACAACTACAAAGCACGGCACAAATGCATAACAACAACGCACAAAACCATTAGAAAAAATCCAAAACGGATCAAAATCCAAGTACCAGTCTTTTAAGTGACCAATATCTGCGCGTAACTCAGTGGGTCGTGCTGGCCAAGCGCGCACAAGTTTTTGAGTTGCGTTGGCTGTCACGCGCAACTTATAGAGTTGCACGCGACATTTAAATCAGCAAAAACAAATCGCTAGGCGCGATTTTCATTTCCCTCTTTCTTTTTCTTCCTTCGCCATTTTAGACTCATTCTCTCTCTACAAAGCTCGATTTTCGTCACTTTTCGAAGCTAAAGGAAGTAGATCTCGTCTCCTATTCATATTTTCCAAAATCCAATGTAAGTATTTGGTTGTTTTAACTCATTTTTTTGGCCAAAATTGGGAAAGCTCGAACCGAAGAACCCTAAATTTTGAATTTAGGGGGTTTTGATTTGGTCCACTATTCTTGAAATTGTTTGTTCCGTGTTGTTATTCTATGTTTAAGGAGTGTTTTGCAACAAATTTTATGAAAAATGGTTAAGTATTGAACCTTGTATGAGCATGTCTTTCTTCAAATTCGTTCTTTGTATTTTTTATTATTTTTTAATTATTTTGGTTCGAATCTGCTGTTTCTTGCTTGCTCACTTGGTTATACTTGTTGATTATGAAGTGAATTATAGTGCTATGCCTACAATTACTTTCATGAATCATGTTTCAAAAATTTTGACTTCAAGAAATGGCGCGAAATGCATTTTATTTTTATTTTTTGCCATTTTCATGTTTCAAAATAATTGTTTGATAGACGATAATTATGTTTTATTCATCTTTAAACAGTTAATTCCCAAGATTTATAGAAATAATCTTTAGAATTGTTAGTTGAACTGGTATAGGTTGGCCTTGTGGGTGTTTAAGCTCCCATTTACTGAGTTCAATTGCAGATGTCGTAGCCCCCAAGTATTGGGTGGCATTCGACTTGGTATTATTTTGATGATTCGCGCGTTATAACAACTACAAAGCACGGCACAAATGCATAACAACAACGCACAAAACCATTAGAAAAAATCCAAAACAGATCAAAATCCAAGTACCAGTCTTTTAAGTGACCAATATCTGCGCGTAACTCAGTGAATCGTGCTGGCCAAGCGCGCACAAGTTTTTGAGTTGCGTTGGGCTGTCACGCGCAACTTATAGAGTTGCACGCGACATTTAAATCAGCAAAAACTAATCGCTAGGCGCGATTTTCATTTCGCTCTTTCTTCTTCTTCCTTCGCCATTTTGGACTCATTCTCTCTCTACAAAGCTCGATTTTCGTCACTTTTCGAAGCTAAAGGAAGTAGATCTCGTCTCCTATTCATATTTTCCAAAATCCAATGTAAGTATTTGGTTGTTTTAACTCATTGTTTTGGCCAAAATTGGGAAAGCTCAATCCGAAAACCCTAAATTTTGAATTTAGGGGGTTTTGATTTGGTCCACTATTCTTGAAATTGTTTGTTCCGTGTTGTTATGCTATGTTTAAGGAGTGTTTTGCAACAAATTTTATGAAAAATGGTTAAGTATTGAACCTTGTATGAGCATGTCTTTCTTCAAATTCGTTCTTTGTATTTTTTATTTTTTTTTTATTATTTTGGTTCGAATCTGCTGTTTCTTGCTTGCTCACTTGGTTATACTTGTTGATTATGAAGTGAATTATAGTGCTATGCCTACAATTACTTTCATGAATCATGTTTCAAAAATTTTGACTTCAAGAAATGGCGCGAAATGCATTTTATTTTTATTTTTTGCCATTTTCATGTTTCAAAATAATTGTTTGATAGACGATAATTATGTTTTATTCATCTATAAACAGTTAATTCCCAAGATTTATAGAAATAATCTTTAGAATTGTTAGTTGAACTGGTATAGGTTGGCCTTGTGGGTGTTTAAGCTCCCATTTACTGAGTTCAATTGCAGATGTCGTAGCCCCCAAGTATTGGGTGGCATTCGACTTGGTATTTTGCCCTTTTGGCAGCCGTTATACTGTCAAAATGGGTCTAGGATTATCTTTGTACTTAATCGTGTGATATTTTTCTTTTAAATCTTCCATCGATTATATCATGGACTTTCCCCCGTTCGTCGATGCTCAGGAGGTTCTAGGAGGAACAGTTCCAGACGAGCCGGTTCACCCTCGAAAGAGGGTGACACCTCCTCGCGAGGAGGGTCGAGAAGGATGCGTTGGTGCTGAGCGACGTCGTCACGAGGAGGTTGTTTGGGAGGCTTCTCCCAACTAGGATCACAAGTCCTTAGATGGGACCCGGACCACCACGTGTTGCTTCGAGGTTGGCGTGGCATCGTGAGTTTCTTTGCGTTTTTATTTTCTTTTCTCTCTTTATTTTATTTTATTTTTTGTTTCTTCTCTAGACATGTCATAACCAAATTTCTTTTTTAGAGTGAGCCTAGCATGTGTCTGTACGGCTCAGGTGACCTGAGAGGTCGTTTTGAGAGCTTGCCCGAGGTGGTGAAGGAGGTGATAGAGATTTCGGGATTGGTCCCCAGCTGGCAGCCCTTTGGGATCTATCGAGTCAGCCTGCGTCACTCGCTTTCCTTGGCGGGTTGTTGGAGTTTTGGTGGGATTCTACCAACACTTTTCACTTCCTGTGGAGAGAGATGACGGTTACCCCTTACGATCACTACTAGAAATAGGCTGGATTCCGACGAACTTAATTTCCGTTGGAAATTTCGAATTTTCCGACGGAATTTTGGTCTGTTGGAAAATTCCGTTGAAAAACTTTAGTTGCGACGGAAAATTCCCTCGGAAGTATTCCGATGGATGTTTTTCCCTCGGAATGTACATCTTTCGACGGAATATTCCGTCGGAAGGTGTACATTCCGAGGGAATAAATTCCGTCGGAACAATAAAAAAAAAGAACAAACGTTCTGAATTTTTTCGGAAAAAAAACCAGAAACAAAAGAAAGAGGAAGAGAGAGAAAGGGAGAAAGAGAAAGAGGAAGAGAGAAGAAAGATGAAGAGAAAAGAAAGAGGAGGAGAGAGAAAGGGAGAAAGAGAAAGAGGAAGAGGAAGAGAGAGAGAGCGAAAGAGAGAAAGAGGAAGTGAGAAACAGAAGGAAAAAGAGAAAGAGGAAGAGGAAGAGTGAGAAAGGGAGAAAGAGAAGGAGGAAGACGAAGATGCCGGCGACCACCGCAGCTCCGCCGCAATTATGCCGTCGTTCTGCATTTGTAAGTGTAGTTAATTTAATTATTTTTGATTAAATTTTTTGGGAAACCCTAAGCTAACTATCACCCCTGTTTTCAACAGCCACCTCCGGCCTTCCACCACAACCACCGGCCGGTGACCGCCGCCCCTTGTGACTCCAAGGCCTCCCGCCGTTCTACAGCCCCAATAAGACTCGCGCCCCTTTTTGTTTTTTCATTAAAAACTGACAGTATAAACCCTAATTAAGTTTTAATTTTAATTATTTGTAGGATTTGTAGAGTTACTTGGTTTGATTGTCATTAAAAGTGCAGATCTACAGGTTAGAGACTATATAAATCCTAAAATTCTTAGTTTAGTTTATATTCTTAGTTTAGTGACTAATTGTATCTAGATATATGTTAGTTTATTATTGTTTTTAGTGTAGTGTATACAATTTGTTGTAATTGCATTTTAATATGTTGAAATATTTGAAATTAATGTGTTGTATTATGATTTGTTAGTTTAGTTTACTTAAGTTTAGTTGTTAATTGTTGTATTATAATATGTTAGTTTAATTTGGTTTAGTTTAATATAGTAATGTATGTTAGTTTAGTTTAATATAGTGTTTATTAGTTTATTTAGTTTAATATTTTTGTTTGATATAATGTTTAATATAATAATTGAATAATTTTGCTCATTTATATATTTGTTTAGTTTAGTTTAATTATGATATATATTTGTTTAGTATAATGCATGTGTCCTTTACTTTAAATATTTGTAAATGAATCATTTGCATATTTGCCTAGATACCCGTTCAAGGCATACACATTAGGAGTATGTCTTGAATAGTCCCCGGTTGGGACTGTCCTTGTACGCTTATTCTCACTTAGGTGGTGAATGTTTGCCTTGTAATTGATTCTAGGGAAAATCGTGCCTTCTCATTTCTCTACAATGTTCTCTGGGTACATATGTAGGTGTGTTTAATCGCCTACATCGTGTACTTGGAGAACTGTAGGGAAATGCTGGCGGATTATCCATAGAATTGAAAACCTGGCTTACATTCGCTGGTGGGATTAAACGTACAAGGAAGGGTTAGGTTGGAGTGATAAGGACCCTTTGTAAGCATTTCAAATCTCATTTGCATTTCCATAACACTTTGATGGATAATGACTAGGAAATACGCTTTGTGACTAATGTGTTTATACATATGCGTGAGTTGTTTAGAAGTTATAATCATGAAACGAACATAACGTAGCTGGATGTATGAAAGGAAGTTGGGCAAAGTATTAATCCAGAGTTCGTGAAAGGGGTTGATGAATTCATTCAATACGTCAAAGATAATCCCGAGAGTAGTAACCCGAATGAAGTTAGGTGTCCATGTGCTAAATGTAAGAACAAACGGCTTTGGGATCCAGAAACGGTTAAAATTCATCTGTTTCGCACGGGTTTTATACCTAATTACTATGAGTGGATGTGTCACGGGGAAGGGTTTCCGATAGTTCCTGAATGGGGGTCCAATGAATATCATGAAATGGTTTTCGATGCTTTTGGTCATAGTCAGGATCAAGGGTATTCCGAGCAGGCTAGTGTTTCATCAGAGGAGAAGCCTAATGCGCAAGCTAAGCATTTTCTGGAGTTGTTGAAGGCTTCTGAAAGGCCATTATACGAAGGGAGTTCGTTGTCTGTGTTAGAGATGGCCGCTAGAATCACTAGTCTAAAGTGCGAGTATAATCTGCCCCACAGATATGTTGATGGGTTTAATTTGTTTCTTTGCTCAGTGAAGCAATTCCTAACAACAACCATATGGCCGACACATTCTATGAGGTGAAGAAGATTGTGAAGGGCTTGGAACTGCCTCATGAAAGGATTCACGCTTTCCCGAAAGGATGTATGTTGTTTTGGAAGGATGACGCTCAGCTGTCTACATGTAGGGCGTGTGGCAGCGACCGATACAAGGAGACTTCCAAGGGTAGCCTAGTGCCTTTGAACGTTTTGTTTTATATCCCGATCACACCCAGGTTGCAAAGGCACTTTACAACCAAGAACATTTCGGAGGAAATGACATGGCATTCGAAAAATCCTCGAGTTCAAGGCACAATGGCACACCCTAGTGATAGTGAAGCTTGGAAACACCTCGATAGTTTCTTTTCAGAGTTTGCCTCCGAGCCTCGTAATGTTCGGCTTGGCTTGTGCACAGATGGTTTTGCTCCTCATGGCAAGTTTGGTGGACAATATTCTTGTTGGTCTGTCACTTTGACCCCTTACAACCTGCCTCCCTCAATGTGTATGAAACAATTTATGTTCCTTTCGTTGCTCGTTTGTGGTCCTAAAAACCCTAAGGGAAACTTGGATGTGTACATGCAACTATTGATAGAGGAGTTGAAACAGTTATGGGAAGTTGGCGCGCATACGTATGATATTTCCATGAAACGGAATTTCAATCTTCGAGCAGCCATCCTATGGACTGTTAGTGACTTCCCAGCTTATGGTATGTTGTCCGGTTGGGCCATATCTGGTAAGAAAGCTTGTCAATGTTGCATGGATAAAAGGAAAGCATTTTGGCTCGAACATGGTTGTAAGGTTTCTTGATTTGATTGCCACCGCCAGTTCCTTTTGACAGATCACCCTTTTTGGAATAGTAGAACTGCATTCTGCAAAAACAAATCGACAAGGGTGCACCTCCACACATTATGTTAGGAGAGGAGCTATGGGAATGTGTGAAAGACCTTCCGAAGGCTACAGATGGGCCCGAGTCACTTCAACAATCCTTAAGTATTCTTCGCGTTGATCCATAAGTATTCTTCGTGTTGATCCAACACAAATATGATTTTATTTATCGTCATAGCACTTCCGGTCGGGACAGGGGACCAAAAGTAGATGTCTACAACTTGTGTTTTTGTTGGCCTTAAACCCGACTGCATTATTGGTACTTTCACTTCTTTGTGATGATAGTATACCAGCTGAAAAGAAATCCTTACTTAAAGTTGTACACCATTTTCCCTCAAATTGTACAACCTTTTAAACCATATGTTGTTTTGTACCTTATATTTCTCTATCATATCATCCCAGCATGTCTGAATTCAATCATATAATATTTTAGTTGCTAATGTACAGAGATAACTTATAGGGTTTAGTTGAGTTACTTAATAATTAAGGGGTTACTTAAGTTTTTAGGAGTTACTTAAAATCTGATAATAATTAAGAATTAAGGGGTTACTTAAGAATTAAGGGGTTACTTAAGTTTTTAGGGGTTACTTAAAATTTGATAATAATTAAGTTTTAAGGGGTTACTTAAGTTTTTAGGGGTTACTTAAAATCTGATAATAATTAAGTTTTAAAGGGTTACTTAAGTTTTTAGGGGTTACTTAAATTTTTAGGGGTTACTTAAAATTCTTCTTCTGTGACACAACCAGAAAGGCATTTGTTAAAGGCATCTTTGAATGATGTATCCCTTTTTAAGGCTCCAAACCTTGATACAACATTTTTTATTAGATGCCAAATACATAATCTGTGACTCGATAGAGGAAATACCTGCAAAGTATTAAAATAGAGGTTACTTAAGTTGTGACATATTCATGGGTTACTTAAGTTGTAACAGAAGGTAAGGGGTTACTTAAGTTATAAGGATTACTTTAGTTATAATACAAGTTTTGAGGTTACCTTTTCAATTGCTTTAGACATAGCCTTGTCTTGATCAGTGAATATAGAAGCAGGTTCACTTCCACCCATTGATTTCTTGAATGTGGATAACAGCTACTCAAATGTCTTGTTTTTCTCATCAGCAATAAAAGCACAACCAAACATAACATTCTGCCAATAATTTTTGACACCAACAATAAGGGTACAAATAAGGTTATATTTGTTTGTCCTATATGTGGTGTCAAATATTACATCTCCATAAATTTGAAAATCTTCCTTCATTTCAAAGTCCCTCCAAAAAATAGCATTAAGTTTGTTTTGATTTTCACCTCATCCTAACTTAAATCCGAAGAAGAATACGGGTTACTTGTTAATAAATAGGGGTTACTTAAAAAAATGGTTACTTAAGTTATCACTCAAGGTTACTTATAGGAGGGTTTACCTGAAAAAGAAATCTCCATCTTCTGGTTGCCTTTTGTATAATCCTTCTATCACAGCTTGTGCATCACCTCCTTGGATTTCTTTCATTTTCTTTCTTGAGATGTAATTGTAGTGGTCAGTCATACTGTGTCCAACATTCTCCTGCCCACCTGCTTTATTACTTAATAATCTGAATGCTTCTGCTGTTCTTAATCCACTCTCTGCCATTAAATCAATGACTTTAGCTATGTCCTTTGTTATTTTTCTCTCTGATCTGTGTAGATGTTACCAGACACTTCTTGTCAACTCATGGTTATGTGCCATAACATGCTCTTCTACTTGAAACATTCCATCTTTATTTATTTTTTCTCTAATGAATGCCTTGCAGCATGTAATAGGTACTTGGTGTTTTTGTTTTTGTTTTTTTTTTTTCTACTTCTTGTCAACTCACTGTTATGTGCCATAACATGTAATAGGTGCTTGGTGTTTTTTTTTTTTTTTTTTTTTTTCTCTCTTTCTCTCTCTTTTCATTTGATGGAGGTGGTGTTTTTATAACTTTTGGTGCACACCTGAACCCTTCTTTGGAACAAACAAAATCTTTTCCAATAAGTTTTCTGTCTTTCCCTTGTGAGTACCTTGTTGTTGAATTTCTTATACTAAATCCTATACCTGTAGCATGAAGCTTATATTGATCATAAATTTCATTCAAAGTTGCTGCTGTAAACCCTACTAGACTTCCTGCAAAATCAGCAATATTCTCTTGTTGAAGTTCATCTTGAGCTCCACTTTCTTCTGTCAATGTCGTATGACTTGTTTCTGTAATAGTTGTATTTATTTCTGCAAAAAAGTAAATTAAAGTTAGTAGTGTGTATTTGTTACAATACACAATGGGTTACTTAAGTTATAAGGGGTTACTTAAGGTTAAACTTTAGTCATAATTATAAGGGGTTACTTAAATTAAACTTTAGTCATAATTATAAGGGGTTACTTAAGTTATAAGAGGTTACTTAAAAATAACAAGTTACTTAATAAGTTATAAGAATTTTTAACATCAGGGGTTACTTATGTTGTAAGAGGTTACTTAAAAATAAAGGGTTACTTGGGTTACTTATTACAATATATATATAGGGGTTACTTGAGTTACTTATTAAAGTATAAAAATAAGAGGTTACTTAAGTTATAAGAGGTTACTTAAAAATAAGGGTTACTTGTGTTACTATTACAATATATGTACAGGGATTACTTATATTACTTATTAAAGTATACAAGGGTTACATGTTATATAATCAGGGGTTACTTAAGTTATAATAGGTTATTTAAAAATAAGGGTTAGTTGGGTTGCTATAATCAGGGGTTACTTTTTAGATTATTAAAAATTTCAAGTTTGATTACTTATAGGGGTTACTTTATTTACCTTGGAATTCATTGCTGACTTTAGATACTTCGATTTCTCTGCATCTGTTTTCGTCTTCTACATCAAATTCATCATTTATGTCGATTTCTAGATTCATCAATGAATCTCCTATTTCTTCATATTAATCGAGTTGAAATTTATGGGAAAAAAATCGATCGATATTAAGTCGAATTAATCGAGTTGAAATTTCTAGGAAAAAAAACTGATCGGTTTTAGATCGAAAAAAATCGAGTTGGAATTTTGGTGGTTGTTTTCTCGAATTGATTGTCGCTTAAAAATGTATTTTATGGGTTTTTAGGGTTTGGGGATTCGTGCTGGAGCTTTTTATTGGTTTCAGGTTGTTTTTTTGGGAAAGAAAAGCGCATGTATATAATTCTCGTTATGCGCGCGTCAATCTCATTATTTATGCTGACTTGGCAGCGTGCCGCATGGTGCAGCGTGTTGTACCAAAAAAGCGCTGTAATTGTAAAGGAATTTACAAAGTATCTACAGAATAAATACTTAACATATAATTAATTAGAGAATAATTTATAGAGTTAGCATTATTGGTTGCCATAAATGGAAGAAGAAGAATATAAAAAGTGAAAAGCTAGCAATATAGATAGTCCAAATAATCTTGACACAATTAGTAATATTATCATATATACAATTGATATAAACAATGGGGTTTTGCATTTTAGGGACACTCAACGTGTCCATATATCTAGTTACCCACGTAAGGCCTGATTTAATTTTTGTAGAAAATGACACTAGCAATGAGCACATCCACCTTATATTAGACAAAATTTCAACATTAATTTGCGGATATATAATATTTCCAGCTTATGGATCATTTTTATTATAATTATCCGATTAAAGTATTCTTTGTGTAAGGTTTATAATCTGACAAAAATGGTTCACGGGAAGGAACTGTTTCTATAATTGACTAAAAAACAATCATTAATTTAATTACTCGTCAAACAATTATTAATTTAATTACTCGCTGAATACTATAAGTCACAAAACCTAACCTCTGTTAATTCTGTAGGGTTAGGTTTACAGTATTATAAAGCTAGAAACTAATTTCTATTTGTGTATTTTTGGAATAAAGAGTAAGCTGATTTTATTAAGATGGTAAACTACATTTTCATTATACTACCTCCTTAAACATTAGCTGTAACTTTGGGGTATTATTTGTGAGATATAAATAATCCAAAGTTACAACTAATATTTAACGGAGGTAGTTTTTTTTTTTTTTTTTTTTTTTTGGTACAAGGACCTAAAGGAGTTATAATGAGTAGGCGAGTAGTGTGCGTAGTGATGTAGACTTAATTTGATTGTAAGTGTTTTAATGTTATTTACAAATTTTGACCTAATCATATGGCAATAATGTCGTAATCTTCTCACTAATTAATCTAAAGTCTAATTAGACAATAAGCTCGTGGCAATTAATGTGTTGAGTCAAATACTCGTAAATATTAGTCAGAATTCATGGCCGTTGAACAAATACAGTAAACAAAAAGTAACCCGTGAGTTATGAGATTACAAAACAAGCTGTATTATTACATGAATATTGAGATCCATAACATGGGCTGAGGGTTCCAACATAGTACTAGTGTGTACTAGTACCATATAATGTCATTTTCAAGGGTTATATATAATTCAATGCAACTTGGTCATCACCAAAATTAAAGTATCGATTTTTGTGAATATTTTTGGAAAGATGAACTTGGGTCTGTCTCATGCCTTGTCTGAGATAAGACTCATAAGAGCATGGCTGAATCTCATCACCATCTCTTACAGTCTTACTTTTGTCTCCCTTTACAAAATTTTAATTCAGTAACGTACAAATATGTACATAGTGCTAAGATGGATTAATTAAAATGCACTACTCATCCTTTCATGAAAATTTCATTGTAAGACAATAAACCTAGCTATTACAAGCACTACATATATATATAAATATATAATAATGAAAAACGTATAATTATTAATGTGTTTTTAGTCCGATCTTTATCAATAACAGATACTTTACAAGTTTGGAGGTTAAATTGCAAATAGACATTTGAATGTTATATTTGTTTATCTTACATTTAAAATTATTCTTGCTACTATTATCTTTTATAGGGTACCAAACAAGGTACAAGTACATTTTTTCTATAGATTAGAGTGAGTAAAATTTTAGATAATATATGTGAGAAAATATTTTTTTTATAATATACCACCATAACTGCCTTCTACTCGTATAGTAATTAACTCTTATGAAGATAACTACCATTAAAAAAATAATATCAGTAGTAACTTCTTATGTGAAGCTTTTGTGCTGGTTACATAAAAAAGTTTCGTCCAATTTTATCTTAGTGAGATTCAATGTTTTCAAATCCAATTATGTATTACTCTTAATTAATTACCCTCACTTTATTCCAACTACACCCTTTTTACAAACCCTAATAATGTTATATTTTGTTTATTTACCCCCTTATATTGCATTAAGAATTCTAAATTTTTATAAACATTGTTTGTTCAATGAAATTGAATGAATCTCTTACAAGAATTGAAAAGTAAGTACTCCTCCGTTTCACATTATGTTGCAATAATTGAATTTTCTTAATATCTCACAAAAAATACCCAACTATTATACATATTGCAAAGTTACTCAATATCCCCAAATTGTGAATTATGAAGTATAGTTTTTCCCAAATTCTTGTACTAACTAAAATATTCCCAAATCGTTTTATATTTGTACTCCGTATAAAACTTACTACGAAATTCAAGATTACCCTAGCTGCTAATAGATATTCCTGCAGAGTTAAACACTCGCTCTACTGATTTGATGAGTGATGACACATTATTATAAAAATTGAAGACGTACAACTAGTTTGAGCAATTTGTGATATGATTCCAATTCCAACCATATTGTCTCACAAAAGACCAAAACTATGCCCCCTTTTTTATGTGTTTTGCCAGCTAAATTTTTAAGCTAACACATGCTATAGATGCAATTCGATCTTTTTTAGGGTTTTTTTTTTATATAGAGAAATTAAACTATACACCAAAATATTGTCTAAATTCGTTCTTACAATGTCATGCATAAATCCTATAAAATACCACCCCTTTTACACCATTTTCTTCATCTCTACACTAATTAAGTAGAGCTATATCAAACAATAATAACATGGCATCTACATTATTCTCCAAATCCCTAGTCCTTTTCCTTGCCCTCAACCTTCTCTTCTTCTCCCTCGTCTCCGCTTGTGGAGAATGTGGAGGTGGAAGTGGTTACCCTAAGCCCAACCCCAAACCCAGCCCCAAACCTAGTACACCATACCCTGGAAGTGGCGGAACCCCAGGTAAGGGTTACCCAGGCTCTGGAGGCACCCCCTCAACTGGAGGTGGAGGTGGAGGTAGAGGTGGAAGTGGTGGTGGTGGTGGAGGAGGAGGAGGAGGGGGAGGAGGTGGTGGTGGTAGCGGAGGCGGGGGTGGAGGCTCATCAATTGGGGCTTGCCCAACTGATGCCCTAAAATTGGGTGTATGTGCAAATGTGCTTAGTGGTTTGCTCAACCTTAACATTGGTACACCTCCAAAGACACCATGCTGCCCCCTCATTCAAGGGCTCATCGATGCCGAGGCAGCTGTCTGTCTTTGCACAGCCATTAGGGCTAACATCTTGGGCATCAACTTGAACATCCCTCTCTCTCTTAGCTTGCTTGTTAACTACTGCGGCACCAATGTCCCTCGGGGCTTCCAGTGTCCTTAAGCGGCTAGCTTAGCTAGCTATATATGCCGTATACCACCATCTTACGTGACCGTGTCATTATTATTTTGACGAGTCTTAATCAATGACGTCTATCTTGATCTAATATGATGTACTACGTACTACTCTTGTAGTTGACATCAAAAAAAAAAAAAAAAAAAAAAAAAAAAAAGCGATGGCATGACGGTTAACTTCTTGTTTCCATTTTAATTGCCATATTGCAGTATAGTATTAAATTACCATTTACCAATTTTTACTATTGCATGTGTACGAGTATTACAATATGTACTATTAATTGTTTTGAATACGTCTCTTCCCAAATGAGGCTCATAAATTGATTGTTCTTCTATTTAATAGACACTTCAACAAATGAGTTGTTTGTATAAATTCAAATATATTCCAATCATATTTGTAGCGCTAGCATGCATGAGTTTTACCCCTTACATATATGTGAATTTAGGGTAAATGTTTTACTATCAATCTTTCATGTAAGCTAGTCGTCATTTTACCACGGACTACTTCTTAATGGAAATAACTCTTAGCTTAATTTAGCTACGAACAGAAGAGTAAACATAGTAGTGATAGTACTAATATATGTTGTAAATAATCAATCAAATTAAAATTTTACAAAGCTCAACCGATGTTAACAGAATCAATGTTAGAGTATATAGTCATGAAATGATGATGATATTATATTAGGAATAATAAAATCTGGAATTGGTACAACAATACAAAATTATTACAACCACACCAAAGAAGAGGAAGTAGCAAATTAGGCACGGGGTGGTGGTCATTCATAGCTCTTTGGAACTTCATGTCCACATTTGCTAAGTACGAGTACAAGAATAAGATCAATGGGCCGGGATGTTTAAGATATTGGCATGGACTGCAGTACAAAGACAAATGGAAGCATCAAGCTTGATAAGGTTACCAACACTCCAATAACGCTACAACATATCATTATTTCGCACATTTGCACATACATTTAACTTAAGGGTCTCTTTGGGGCATGTTTCAAGAGGTTGAGTACATACAAATGTAGAGCAGGCCAATCTACTCCAAAAAGATTCAATGCGAAAAAAAAGAGCTACTAAAGAAGCTATCTTGAGGGCCATTATTTACCTATTAGTTGTAATAGTCTGGGATTGTTAGCATTAGCACTGGACAATAATGTATCGCAATAATTTGTATTTTTTTTTCTTGTTTGTATAATCCATGAATGAAAAATGATATTAAGTCGATAAAGTTACCAAAAATAGATAACCCATAGTTACAAATGTTCAAGGAAGATGTAAAAAGCTCAACAAATCTAACAAATATAAGAGATCTTTAGCAAACGGAATAGATAAGAAAAGATATACTAATGTATGATTTTATTTGATTTGTCTCAATACTTATTTAAAGGTTTATTTATGTTTAAAAATGTAACTTAAAACTGTATGATATATATAGGAGTTTTTTTTTTTTTTTTTTTTTTTTTGGGGTGGGGGGGAGGGGGGAGGGGTGGGGACCATTTAGTGATTTAGAGCGTCATATATATAGCTATATAGGTGGGCATGGCAATTAACTGAATGAGTTTGAAATTAATAAACTTATTAGAGATCGAATTAAACAATTATTGAGTCACCTAAGCAAATTTGACAATTTCTAATATGTACATTACTTGATAGAATTATAATGATCTTACTCATCCACTCTTATTGATAAATACAAAAATTGAAATAATTGTATATTTGTGTTCGTCTTCATATGTTAAGTGTTCTTTGTGGAAAAAATAATTTAAAGTTGTTTAACTAGTTCTCTTAGGTAAGTATATTTGTGGCTCTATTTCTTGTAAACAACAGATTAGAGCAATCTCTAAAGCATCCATCATTATGATTGAATCATGAATATATATAATTTCATTGGAGCTGTATATGTACGTTTTTAAATGATAGAGTACAAAACATATTCCTGAGCCTCAATCATCAGCTTAAGTTTTTGGTTGAGTTAGTCCACCAACATAATGGTTGAGGTCCAGCAATATATTTTATACTCTATCATTAAATTTAGTTGAATGATCACAAAACTTACAAGAAATAAGACAAAAGCCAACCAATAGCCAAATGGTTAGCTTGCTATATTATGACATAGATATATTATTATATTAATAATGCATGGCTGTGTAATTTTGATGCTATATTACACAAAGAAACAAAACGTTTAAGCACTTACTCACATACATTTACGTAGTGTACTTTAATCCTTTATTCACCATCATCAAATGATTGTACAAAAACAAATTAAACATAAAGCGTGCTTACTTTTAACAAAGCACAATATTACACCATACCAAATAGATGAGATTATACTTCAACAAACCACTCTGCATAATAATAAATGCGACGAACACACACACACACGTACTTTAAACACAATTCATAACTAGAGCAAATTTGTTTGTTTAGAAGACAAATGATCCCCTAATTAATCAAGGACACTGGAAGCCCCTGGGAGCTCTCCTCCCACATGCATTGAGAAGCAAGCTTAGGTTAACAGGCAAATTGAGGTTGATGAGGTTCAAAACATTAGCTCTAATCACAGTACATAGGCAAACAGCAGCCTCAAGGTCTGCAAGGCCTTGGATCAAGGAGCAGCATGGCTGAACTGGAGGAGTACCTATTTGAAGGTTAAGAAGGTTCCCAAGTAAGTTGGCACATACCCCTAATTTTAAGGTGTCAAGAGGACATGTTCCCCTAGATGATCCCCCACCGCCACCTACAATGCCTCCTCCACCTCCACCGCTACCTCCACCTCCACCTACAATGCCTCCTCCACCTCCACCGCTACCTCCACCTCCACCTACAATGCCTCCTCCACCTCCACCTCCGCTTGAAGGTACAGAGGGAGTGTAAGGAGAATAACTTGCATGAATGGTGGTGGAGAACATAAGAAGGTTGAAAGAGAGAAAGAGGGCTAGTGCTGAAGTGGTCTTAGCGGAGGCCATTGTGTTACAAGTTAAATTTGGGTATGATTATTATTATTAGAGAAGGGTTTGGGATGATATAAGAGGAAGGTTATAGAGGGGTTTATATAGGCTTATTAAAGGCATTATTTAATGAATAGAGTTGTATTATTTATTGTAGGTAAACAACATTATTCTCTCATCAAGTTATTATTAATTTTGGATTCTAACTTCAGCTATACTTTGTATGTGTTAACGGTATTATATCATATTCATTTATGTCAAATAGGCTATTTAGATCAAATTTTGTCATATGAAAAGGGTTGGAATGGAGTTAGAATCCATTCCATCTTCTTTTTTTTTTTAGTTGAGTTTTTTAATGATGGAATCTCATACCCAAGGGATTCTAATATAACTCTAGCCTCATACCCCTAGAAACTCATACCCTTCTCTCCCCCTAAGATTCACAATCCATTCTATTAATGAAATGTAGAATTCATTTCAACAATAAAAACCAAACAATTTTAGACTAGTATGGGTTTATTTAGCTTAGATAGATTCCATGCCTCTCTAGTATGAGATTTCATACCAACTCATTCCAATTTGATGAATCAAACGCCCCCTTAATTCAATAATTATATGCACGTACAAACCTAATTCTATGAGAATATAAATTTTACATAATTACACGTACAATAGTGTCCTTAAATAGGAGTAATACTGTTTTAGTTTTAGCAAATAAATTAAGCTTACATTTATCCATGAGCTTTAATTAATTATCTAGATCATTAATTCTGCGACATTGGAAGAAACTTACACATTGATATTGTTAGTCGTTATTGGAGCTGCTTTTGATACAATTATAAATAGTATCTTGTGAAACCCAAAAGAAAAAAGAAAAAAAAAAAAAAAAAAAAAGTATACTCCGTACAAAGTATAGTAGGAACTACGATCACTAGCTAATTAATTTGATACATACTCATGATCAACAATACATGTATACTTCGTATAATTAATATAATAAAGTCCCAAGAAGTGTATATAGAGCTTGATTAATTTCCAATCTAAAAAAAAATAAAGTCTATCGCTTCAAGATTGCAGTAGTGATTGTGTAATGCATGTCATTTACTCTAAGGTTTTTTTTTTCACTTTTTTTAGTTTAGGTAGGGAGAAAGATTTTTACCAGATTTCAACCCTCACAGTTTTTTGGTCTACTATTTACAGGTTAGACACTTTGAAAGTAAGGGGGAAACGGTAAAGTTTTCCCACCCACAAAGTGTCATTAGTGGGAATATAACTTCTTTACAATCTTTTCCACTAGGTCAAGATTTGCTTAGAATGTCCATTCAAATCAAAATAGAACGAGCACCTATGTACTATTGTAATATGGTAACGAAATATCGTTCTCTTGCAATATTATATGTAATGAATATTTATTAAAATAATATATTTCTCCTTACAAAAAATAAAATAAAATGAAGTTGAGTAAGGTATTTCATATCGGGTATTTAAATAGAGTCAACTTTCTAGGTCCATCAATTTTATCACAGCTAATGTGGAAGTAACACACAACGAGTATTGTACAAATCCCTTTCAATAATTATTTACACTATATGCGTAAAATATTGAAATTGGCATATCCATATGACGGTTGGCAATCTTGGCATTGAACCTTTTAGGTGGGATCGATTGGTTGAAAATGGTTTGGTGTTAGAGGAATAGTAGTTTGTATACTAATTTTCAATTATATAATAATGATGTTTTGGTGACAACATGTAACGACTTTATTAAGCAAAACAATCAAGCATTCTAGCGAGCAATCCGTCGAGAGATCAGAAAAGTTTGTAATTTAGCTTGGGTGAAGGTTGCTTGGTAAGTTGGACGTAATCACGGGCCTTAGTAACCCCATTTTTCTATTCTAAGAAAAAAAGGGGTTCCACCTCACCTCAATATGTCTTTGCCGACTTGCCGTTGCTTGTGGGTCAAGCATTCTTTCTACTAGCTTGCACTGTCTCCACTTGCTTATATTATTCCCAAATAATTGCATTGCTCAATTGAAAATCACAGTAATATAATTTGGATGTTTTTAAAAATAAAAATAAGTTAGGGTTGAGGCTTTACATTAATATGGGCTTGTTTTCCCACGAAAAGATCTAAAGAAATAAAATAGTCCCATATCATCATAAGTCATCAAGCATTATCTTTAAACAAAGGTTTTCATCTTTATAGCGACTGTGTGGAATACCTCGTATAATCAAAGTCCAAACTAAATACATTGCTCATAAACCAACTGATAGAACAATGTATACTACAAGAGGGGGGGTGAATTGTAGTGTATGTAGACTATGGTAAATTTTCCGGAATTAAATCTACTACTAAGAGAAAAGACACTGATATAGGCAATGAATAAATTCACTCTGTAAAAATGATTTACAATCACTAATACGTTGCCTAGACTCAAGTTCCGTGAGGAACTCAAGTTACCCAATTGTGATCCCTCAATCACAGTTTCTCACACTTTGTGATTCTACTCCGAATCACTTGTACAGTGTAAACAACTCTCTCAAGTGTCACACTTTACAACTCTCACAACCCAAACCCAATTACACAATGATTACAAGTATTTCCTAAAGAACTTAAGAGACTAAGGATGGAAGGAACTTCTCTTTTAAACACTTTGAAACTCTATGCTCAGAATACTTAAGATTGTTTTTCCACGCTTTCAAAACTTAACGTTGATCTGTTTTTATAAGGAGTTAAACCAAGCTTCCATCAAGTTCCCACTTCCCCCTTAATCCCACGTTCTCTTTGACTGAGAAGTTGGGATGTAGGCAGAGGAAATTTAGGAACATGATTTCCCTAGCTTGACTCCTAAATTCAACGTGCTCCTTAATTTAAGCAGCCAATATTTACCAAGTTAAAAATCAGTTAAAGACTTATTCAAAAGATAATTATTATTTATTAAAAAAAGATAATTATTTATTTATTAATTAAAACATAAATAATTAATTAATTTAAAACTTATCTTTTAAAATTAATGAATTATTTATTTATTTATAAAATCTTTTTAAATCTTTTTCAAAACTGATTTTTATCACTTCCTTAAATTAAGGGTTTTTGAAAACCGTTTTAAAACTTTCGTTTAAAACTTTCTGAGTCATTCGTCAGGTTCCTTCAGGAACTTCGAGTTTCTTCTTAATTCCTTCCAACACTTTTGTTTCTTAAGTTCGTACACTGAGTAACTAAGAATATAGAGTTGTGAGGACATCTTGAAAGCTTGCATTCATCATCAAGTCTTCCAAACTTTGTTGTTCCTACTCCGGAACATTTAACTTCAAACCTGAATCTTCTGTTTTAACCAAGACTCATAAACGTCGTTAGTCAAAGTTTGTTTTATGTAGGTCAATCATCAAAATATAAGGTGGTCAATTCAACAATATTCCCCCTTTTTGATGATGACAAACAAACAAACTCGGTTAAACAAAATAAACATCCAGGCAATTATCGTAACCATAAACAAAACAGTAAAATAAACTAAGGATTAAGAAGTCTGCATCATTCATGAAATTTATAAATTATGAAAGTATACCTTCACTTAATGATGAAGACTTGAAGGGAATCGGTTTGAGTCCGGCTTTCTGAGTTTGTTCTTCTCTTCCCCCTTTTGACATTATCAAAATGATAGAAAGAGCATGCTATATATAGTACTAAACTACGGAGGGAGTAGTAAATCTGAAGTCATGAACGATTAAGCATGCTCACACAGTTCATATGCAACCAAAATGAAAACATCAAATTCAAAGACAAACTTAGCCAGTTTAATACAAACCGAAATAAAAACAAAATAAAGTGTTCAAAACAAGCCAAACAAAATAAAATTGAAGGACAATATCACTGTTTAATAAATCACAAGAAAGAGTGGGGTAGGTTTGTTTTGCAAAGGGCTAGGAAATGGTAGCAGCTTCATGGTAAGGTAACATCCTTGATCGCATCGAGAATGGTCTTGTAACAACTTTGCTTCACTTTAGCTTTGAGTTCCTGAGTCGAGGAGTCCATATGAGCGTTTACTTTATCTTCCAGAGAAAGCATCTGAGTTTGCAGCCCCTCAACTTTAGTAGCCAGGTTATCCACTTTAGAAAAAAGGTTAGTTATACTCTGTGTAAGTGTAGTGGACAAAAGCTGAAGTTCCTCCTGGATTTGCAAGGAACTTGGACCAGAGCTAAAAGCAGTGAATCCGAAACCAGAAGTATAAGGCTGGGAAGCAGGTGGAGAAGATGTGGTGTGGTGAGCAGAGGATGGAATTGGAGGTGGTGATAGAGTTTCTTCTGGAACAGATGAGGAGGGACCCTGAGGAACTTGGGTGGAAGTTCCTTCAGAAACTTTGGTTGAGTCATCATCCAACTCTACAATGACATGCTCAGATCGCAGGGTTCTGGGTTTAGATGTAGCAAGTCTGATACTTCTCCTTCTTCTGCCTGTTACAGGGGCAGTGTGTTTGACAGAGCCCCCAATTTCCTTAAGCAACTCTTTCATTAATTTCTCTTGATCATCCTCTTCCTCCTCACTCTCACTCTCTTTTTCTATTGTGTCTTTCTCTTTTTCTTTTTCTCCTGCTTCCTCTGATTTACCTTCTGTTTTCTCTCCTTTGCTACTCTTCTTTTCTACTGCCCCATCACTCTTTTCTTCTTCGTCCTCTTTGTCACTATCTTTTTCTGTTTCTTTCTCACCAATTTCTTCTTTATTTTTCTCACTATCTTCCTCTCTCTTTTCTCCTTCCCCCTCACTGTGTTCCCCCTCAGACTCACTTTGCACATCAGATGCAAAACAAACATTCCCATGCACCACTTTTAAATTCAGCTTTAACAGTGATTTTTCTTGAAGGATGTGTTCAGGCTTGAGAATGTAATTCTCGGTTTGTGGAAAAGGAACTTTCAAATCCTTAAACACAATTGTCAAAAGGGAACCATAGGGTATGTGTAAGTCGGGAATGCAATGGTCCAGGTGGGCTATCATTAAAGCAGGAAAGTTAATACTAACTTTCTTCGCCAAACAGAAAATGAGGGATGCATCTAAGAGAGTTACAGTACTCCGTTTCTGGGAACGAGGAAGAATTCCTCTCCAAAT